GCACTCAGAGGGCGTATTGCTAAGAGAGGCTATTCCATAGAGAGGAATGTCATGTTTGGAAAGGTGGAGGGATGGCAAAAGGGAAGAAGATCCTCAACCAGACTGTTGCTGTGACTGCAGCAATGGGCTCAAGTGTATCAGAGATGGTGAGAATGACACAGGATAGGACAGTTCAGATCTGCTACTCAGAGGGTTTCTATGAGTTGTACTCAACAACAACAGCTTTACAAACCTACCTTCATTGAGTTGCTAACATTTGACTATAGTATTAAAAGTCTAGAGGAAATGATATTAGATAAAGTAGATTGTTATAAAAAATAAGGGATACCCTAAGTGAGATAAACTGACACAGTGGTCAAGACAACATTCAGATACACTCACTACTATGAAAATGGTGCAGGACTAGGAAACAATCACTATGAGTTGCAGCTGACCAACACAAAGGAAACATTTAAAAACCTGTCCATTTCTCTGTTGCTGTGCAGACCATGTTAAATCTCAGAAGTCTGAATCTACATTTTTTAAGGAAATTTGGAGCAAAAGTTTTCCTTTTCTTAATGCCACCTGATTCTGCAGCTTACATACTGTTCAACTCACAGCTTCTTGTTCAGATCTCAAGAGCAAGATGATTGTTGTTATTTCCAAATTATTTCCCAGAATGCTGTGGGAATACTAATTTCTGCAAGTTTTCTTCATCGATATTGTAGGAAGTATCTGTTTTTTCTACGTGGGAGACACTGCATTCTATATCTATCTTTAATGTATGGTAAGTCAGTAGCAAAACTGTCAGGATAAAATCATCTGCTCAACTGTGACAATCTCACATGGATGCGTAATAAAACTGCAAAACCAATCTCACTGCCATCAAGTCGATTCTGACTCATAGAAGCTTTCCATTAGGTGTCTGAAGCTGAGCTGTAAATCTTAACAGGAAGAGACTGCCCATCTGGGATGAAGTAGTTTTATATTTCAAAATTAGATTTTAAAAAATGGCCAGGCCATTCCTTTTTGACTTTTGCCACACGGTTGGGTGGAAACGTGTAAATAGAGCATGTAGAGTACTAATGAGTTCCAGTGGCTTAGTGGTAAGGAGTTGTACTGTCAACTCAAATGTTGGCATATAGTTTGAAGGCTACTGCTGCTTCATGGGAGAAAAATGGGCAGTTTTCTCATGTGTAATTTACTGCCTCTGAAAACTCACTTGAGGCTAAGATATGAGTAGATTAAAACTGGATGGTATATAACAATACAACGAAGTGCTAATGATGAGTTTGGACCATCTTACCCTCCAACTGGGCTTGAACTGAGCAAATTTAAAGCTTGAAGATAAGACTTTTAATATCAGCAAGAAAGAGGAAGCAGAGAATGCTGTGCATACCCTTTGGGGTCAGAGATATCCTGTCTGAAAAGAAGACAGACTGAGACACTGCAGCAGCAGTGCAGAACCAGAGACCAATGTGAGACAGAATTGCCCTGGGACCGCCACCCCAGCTTGGCCCAAGCTTGATGGAGGACAAGGAGTGAAAGCAGTTTCGTAAGTGGCAGGACGAGAAAACCTTCGTAAAATTGACGTAAAGGCTCAAGACTATAGGTCAAAGAGCCTGTGAGCATGATTGAGAAAATGTCCTGACTGAAGATTAGTGTCCTGTTTCCAACCTGAATTTGTAAACTGTTTTTTCCCTAATAAACCCCATAATCATGAGTATAATCTATGAGCTCTGTGTAACAGCTGCAGTGGATGAACAGACCCAATAATAAAGCAATGAGAGCTTTGGGAGGAACATTTGGTGTTAGGATTGGTAGAGGCAGGTTGAGGGACTGTGAGGAGCAAATCTGACCTCATAGTTTTGTATTACTGATGAGGACTTTTCTCCCTTATGCATTTAGTGGAAGTCAGGCACTGTCCCCCCCCATGCCAGCTATACTCAGCAGATTATTTTTTCTCCCATGAAGCAGCTAGTAGAATTGAACTACTGGAGATATGTGGCCTTTTGGTTAGCAGTATAACTTGCTATGGACTATACCATCAGAGCATCTCATAGTACTGTTGTGTTGTTGTTGTTGTTGGGTTCCATGGAGTCAGAACTAACTCGTAGCTAATCCTGGAGTGGACTTTAAGAGGTAGTTTAATCACACAGGAGGAGATTGCTCATCCTCTCATGGAAGAGCTGGTGGATTCGAACCACATGCCTTTGGGATTACAGTGCAGCTTTGTACCCCTGGGCCATGAGAGCTCCCTAACTCTTAGGTAGTCCTTTTTGTATGATAAGCTAACCTGTGGGTGCCTAAACTAGCAGAATGTTGAATTTCAGAGTTAAACTGACCCATTTTTACAGTTGTTTTTGTGCATTGTCAAGTAGGAACTGACCCATAGTTGATGACCCATCAAATTTTCAGAGGCATTTAATCACATGGGAAGAGATTGCTCATCTTTCTCCAATGGAGCAGCTGGTGGATTTGAACCATGTGCCTGTTAAGCCACCAGAGCTTCCTTGGCATAGTAGTACTGAAAAATAAATCTAAAGTTTAACAAATTAATCACGCAGGTCACATATGCAGACTTTAATATCTGCAAGTCTATATTTAGCATAAGTTTTATTTTATCCAGCTATTTACATTTTTCCTCCTGCATTTTCTTCTTTTTTTTTTTAAGGGAGAAAGGTACTAAAATTTATTAGAGCTATTGGAAGTAATTTATAAGTTAACACTGAGTCACATCTCTTCACTCTTATTAAAATGTCTTCAGGCTGGAGAAGGAGAGGCTCCAATTATTTCAAAGGATTAAAAACAAATGTGTATACCTCTCATATGGACAAGGTATCTAGTATGGACTGAATTGCATCCCTAAAAAATATATTTTCAATCCTAACCTCTATACCTGTTGCAAATGGCTATCTTTGTTATAAGGATGAGGCAAGATTAGTGTAGGCCATGTTTTGTGTTTTACAAAATCTCTAACAAAATATAAAATGACCTAATTATGTAAACAGAGATGGGAGAAGATAGATGTCAGTCAATGTGGAGAACTCCAAGCAACCTGGAAACAAAAGCTGAAGTGACAAGGATCTTCCCTCAGAGCCAACAGAGAAAGACAAAACTTTTCCCTGGTGCAGGTACTCTGAATTTGAACTTCTGGCCTCTTACACCTAGAGAGTATATTTTTCCTATTTATGAAAGCCATACACTGTGGTATTTCTGTTATAGCAGTAGAGAACTAAGACAGTCCCTAAATGGTGTACATAATGTAAAATAATGTAACTACCAAAGCATTTGCAGAGATTTCAAAACAATCTCTCCAATTTCCAAAATAATCTAGAGTAACACTATCTGCTCCTTTACAAAAACTAACCAATAAGAACCATCTTTACTTTATGTTTAAATCATGTTAAAAACCATTTTAAAAGGAAATAATATTCATGAAATGTTCCAAGTTAGTGACAATGAAAACAAGATCCTTCTCATCAGAGAGATAATATGCAGGTAACCTTTTAGCACCTTCAGGCTCCTGAAGGCTGGTCCCAACTGTGTTGTTGAGTAATGTTCTACTACAGTGATTTTAGGGTGTATTAACAGTTATTTAGGTTCTCTTCCATTTACATCAAGTTACAACCAGAAAACATATCCATTGCCTGCTCCTTAAGCCACCCAGAACCCTCCGTTTCATTTTAGTCTGTTTTCATATTAGATTTGTTCAACTCCCCAATGTTAAAATTGCATTCTTTGAACACCTGTACGAGGACAATTCCAACAGATATGGTTGCTAACACCCACAGGCCCACATTTGTCCATTCCAAGAATATTATGGCTGAAGTCAACAGGACTAGTGTGATGAATACAACGTAGTAGATGGTCCCAAACTCTGGGGAGTCAAAGCACTCCAATGCTTTGTTGATGTACCTGAACTGGACGCTGCTGCTGCAGCCAAGCATGGCCAGGAGCACTAGGCACAGACAGAGGGCTCTCTGACTAGATGAGTTGTTGTGGAAGATGTCTTGGGTTGCCAGACCAATGCTCTTGGTGGAAGGCACCATGAAACCACCCAGCAATGAGCAAATGCTGATATAAACCATGATGTTGGTGGGCCCATGGGCTGGTGCAATCCAGAAGATGAGGAGCAGCAGCGTGAGGAGCACGATGCACAGGTATCCCACAAACACTGGATCGGACACCCCACTTTGCCCAAAATGTTGAGTTTTTCCTTCAGGAGGTAAAACGCTAAAATGGACTCACTCATTGCCAAGGAGTTAGAACTTACTCATAACTGACCCTCCGGTAGATTTCCATGCCAAACAGCATTCTGAGGGCACCCAGGGGAGTCACTAGTACAGTGTGGACCTCTTTAAAAGCCAAGAAGTTGCCAATCTGGCCAACAATCATTGTAATCGTACCAGCCCCCCATACAATGCCTGTTAAGTAGGAAGTACCTCCCCATATGGCTCACACGATGCCCTTCTTAAGGGCAAATGTGGACCCATTCACCACGGCCGCACCCAGGCCCTTCTTTCTTCTTTTGTATCATCCACCAAAGCGTCTAGTCATTGCTCCAAACACTTCCTTCTTCCCTCCTCCACTTTTAGCTATCTTTCTTCCTCTTCTGTTCTCTAGGATCCCAGGCACTGTGGCTGGTCACTTAGAACTGTGTGATAAGAAGAGGTTCAACCAGGCTATGCATATTGTCCCAGCAAGGGTGTCTAAAGGTATAGAATCATGGTAATGATAACATGTTATGGATTTACATAGACTTCCCAGTGTACAAGCCACATTCATCTTCATTATCCCCGCAGGCAACTAGAATTGAATCCATGCAGGGCAACTGACCCTGACAGAGAGACTCAGAGGCACATTTTGAAGATTGCTTGAACTCAGTATTTTTTCCCCCAAATTCCCTGGAGAAAAGAATCACCTGAGCACCTGACATAATTTTAGATTTCTGGACCCCAAGCTCACCCTGGTAAATACGAATGTCTAGGGAAAGGACTTGCAGGTTAACATATATAGCAACGATCCTATATAATGATTTGCACCAGATCAGACTTAAAAAACACTACCCTGGGGACACTTCTTACTGTTATATGCTTAGCACCAGTCATCCTGGGTGGACCCAGGCACTGAAGTGCTGGACTGATTTCCAGTGACAGAAGAGCATCAACAGCAGAGTGCATGGAGAGTCTGGACACTAGAGGCTGGATGCTACATGATTGGTCCTAGAGAAGCTACCCCTGGTGGCAGTGAATCCTGAGGGATTAAAAGTTTAAGAGGAAGGAACAGGGCATCTCCTAATAGTTGATGAGCTCCTCTGTCAGGCCTGATTTTGTAGTCTGGTTTATGATTTGGATGCCTTCTGGGAGAAATATCACGGTCAATGGCTGGTCCATTAGGGTAGCATTGAACTTCCTCTGCTCAGATGGAGGCTGAGAAGAAAGAGGGAGTGATGTACCAGTGGGTGGAGGGGATCGAGAAGACAGCAAAAGCTGAAATTCTAAAGCCTGCAGAATGCAAATTTATTAATTTCTGTGATTATATAAAGCAGCAGGATGTTAGGATTTAATGTAGGGACTTTCACTAATACAAATTCTTTATATGGAGAGATAATAGTTCTTGTTTTATATTTCAAATTTTAGTTTCCCATGGTCATACTGTTGTTGTCAAGTCACCAGCAATTCATTGCAACACTATGTACAATAGCTCTGAAACCTGCCCTGTACTGAGCCACTCTCACTGTCTCCGACACACCTACCCACATTACCTCAGTTATTGTGTCAATCTATCTCATCCAGTGTCTTCCTCTCCGGCACTGTCCCTCCACCCTTCTGAGCATGGTGTCCTCCTCCAAGGACAGGCCATATTAAAATTCAATAAACTTCACTCAACGACATCTTACCTTCAAGTTGGAACCAACTCAGAGTTGATCTTCCAGTGGCTTCCCAAGAATGTAAATCCCTTGCCTTGCTTGCTCCGGAAATGCTGCTGGTGGATTTGAACCTCCAGGGAGACTCCGTTGGGTAAACGGTGCAACTCCCTAAGGAGTATGCCACCAGTGTTCCTTGCAGTCATGTTTTTGTGGTTACGTGCTGTGGAGTCTAAATTAACTTGTAGTTAAACCTTTAGTGCATTAACTTTTCAGGGACTGTAAATTACATGGGGGTAGATTACCATTTTTTTCTTCCTCAGAGGAACTAGTAGTGGATTTGAACTGCCTGCCTTTGAGTTGACAGCCTAACTCCTTAACCACTAAGCCACCAGAGTTCCTTATAGTCATAGTAAGTACTTATGAAGCAAATATAAACATAAAATTCTATATTTAAGTGATTTTATAATTTTTTTACTTTCAGAGGATAAATGATCAGCAAACTGAAATAAAATCGACATTAGAATTTAGTTATAAATCATTGCTATACTTTTGATGCCTAATAACTTAATTATGTCATTCTGGGATTGATGAATGTGAAGAAACGTGGAAAATTACATTGGTTATGGCCATGAACTTAGTGATGTGAAGATGCTGGATTTATGTATGTTAATTTGATTCATATGCAAGTCAAAACACGCATATTTTTAATCAGCAGATGGTTTAATATGCTTTCTACACTTGTAAAAAATGAAAAGTGCTTCAAGCTATTTTTTGCCTTGTCATTCATTCCGTCAACAGTATTTATTGTGAACACAGTAAATGTGGTACATTTAGGTGCAAGGCAGTTACAAATGCAGTAGAAAATATGTCCCTTTCACAGGGGAAGATAGGATAAACTAAAACTTGAATTTTTCTTCACTTTATGCTTTTAACATGTTTCTCTAATATTGTGTCTACCATTTAAACTTTAATGACTCAAATGAGTTTCCTACATGTGTATCGGACTATCAGAGCTGCTTTATAACCATTTCCTTCGATTGCTGTTTTCAACTGAAGCTTATAATTAAAAAATTCACTTAGTGTCTTAGTTACCCAGTGCTGAGTATAAACAGAGATCCCATAAAAGGATGGCTTTAACAAACAGAAACTTGCTTTCTCATAGTTAGGAAGCTTGATGTTCACATTCAGGGTGTCAGCTCTAGGAGTATTCCCTCTATCTACGTCTGTTGTGGAACAAAGGCCTTATTTTCTTCAGTAACTATGGGGCTGGTATTCCATGGAGACTTTGATGTATCTGGGCCTTCGCCTTTATCAAAAACCTTAGTTGTTCAGGGACTCAGTGCCAAAATGATGCACTCCTGGTGATTATTTCTTGGTGGTACTAAGCATACGCAGATCAGCTGCATTTCCCCTTAATGATACTAGTTTGAAGACTAAGGTGAGCCTGATTAAGTCTTTTCAATTACTTGCTATGCATCTGAAAAGCTGGATGATGAATAAAGATGACAGAAGAAGAACTGATGTCTTGGAGCTGTGAAATTGGAGAAGAGTACTGAATGGACTACTGGAAAAACAAACAGATATGTCTTGAAGAAGGTGCAGCCAGAATGCTCCTTAGAGGCAAAGATAATAAAGCCTTGTCTCATGTACTCTAGATATGTTGCTAGGAGAGACTATTCCTGGAGAGAAAGGTCATGCTTGGAAAGGTGGAAGTAGGATGAGAGAGAGGAAGACCCTCAACAAAATGGATTGACAATGATTGCAGCAATGGGTTTAAGTATGTCAGAGATTGTGAGGATGGCACAGGATAGGACAGATATCAGATCTGTTGTTAATAGGGTCACTATAGGTTATACTCCATGGCACCTAACAATAACCACCACCACCCCAGAGTAACTCCCCTTATATAGTATTAGTGGTGTGATGGGATTAAGAAATTTTGTACTCTATCTTAATCCTTCTATAACTACTTGCTTTAACAGATCATAGGGGCTGGTTACATAGATTCTGTATCATATCATTTATTAGGATGTCATCTATTGGTCCAGTAGTAAAGAAAATTTGTTTTCTTGACATTGACATCATAATAGATGGAGAAAAGATTAAAACTGTCAATGACTTCATCTTACTTGGATACACAACCAATACACTTGGTACTAGCAGTCAGGAGATTAGGAGATGTATTGTATTGGGGAAGTTTGCAGTCAGGGACCAATCCAAATTACTGAGAAGCAATGAAGCTAGTTTGAAAACTAAGGTGCACTTTATTAGGACCATAGTCTTTTCAGTCACTTGCTACGCTACGAGAGCTGTATAATGAATAAGGATGATAGATGAAAAATTGATGCCTTTGAATTATGATGTTGGAGAAGAGTACTGAATGTCCCATGGTCTGCCAAAAGAACAAACAGGCCTTGAAGAAAGTGCATTATGAGTCCTCCTTGGAAGTAAACATGATGTAGGTTAGTTTCACATACTTTGGGCATGTTACTAGTAGAGGCTATTCCTTGGAGAAAGACACCATGCTTGGGAAGGTGGGAAAAAGTGAAAGAGAGAAAGACCCTCAGTCAGGTAAATTGACCCAGTGATGGGCCAGGTGGGCACATGATAGGGTAGGGTTCAGAACTGTTGTTTATAGGGTTGCTATGAGTCGTACTTGACTCAATGGCTGTAAGCAACAACAACAACAACAACATATCATTATTTGTATGTATATTTGGGGGACACACCTCAATCCATGATACTCAGTAAGCAATATTATGCACCCAAAATGAGTGGAATACTTGGCAAAGTATCACACTGCAGAGAAAACCTTGACCTTTATCCTCAAAGAGTATACAGTTTACTGGAAAACATATTTGAAATACCACGGTTAAAATTCAGACTATACATCTCACCCCAATAATAGCAGCCAACTTTAGCACGGTATCAAGAAATAGATACTGCAGAGGGTGTGGAGAGGTGGGAACTCTCATACACTGTTGAAGAGGTTGTAAAATGGTACAACCACTTTGCATGGCAGTTTGACATTTCCCAAAAAAATTGAACATAAAAACTCCATATGACCCAGCTATTCCACTACTATGCATATACACCAAGGAAATTAGAACTTAAGTACAAACGGGGATTTGTACAGCAATGTTCATAGCAGCATTATTCACCATGGCAAGAACATGGAAACAGCCCAAATGTCCAACCACATCTAAATGGATTGAGATATTGTGGTACATTCACACAATGGAATACTACGCAACACTCAGGAGCAACAATTAAAAAAAAATACTACATAACTTGGGAGAGACTGTATGCTGAGTAAACTAATTCATAAGGACAAATACTGCATAAGACTATTATTGTAAAAATAGAAGGATAACTAGTGAAACATGTATGGGGACCTAAGGGAGGAATGAGTGGGAGCAGAGGAGTGAGGATGGGTAGGGGCGAAACCATAGATGAGTGGAGGGATGGGGTGAAGTAAACAGGAAGGATCTAGAGGGGACCTGAAAAGAAAGGGTAACAATGGGCA